GTCCTAGTACTGTTGTTACACTAGGATGAATGTGTTGTACATTATGAAGCCATTCTGTGCACTCACAATTGCATTCACAAACCTTTAATATTGCTTCATGTTCTTTGACAATTATCATAGTGTACAGTTGTCTTGTACCTCATAATGCATCCATCCATCTATTACAGCTGATCTTACCACACACACCTGAGATGCAGCTTTATTACTCACCACAGCAGGAGACCACTTAGCATAAGTATGTATGAGGGTGAGACAGGGTGTGTGTGTGTGTGTGTTTTGGGCTGTTTGCTCATTATGCATTGTATGATATCATTAAGAGGGGTAATATCTCTCCCTCGCTCTCTCTGTCGGCCTCCCTCAAATTGTGTCAGATGAGCAGAGTTGAATAAAGCAGTACTTTCAGAGTACCTGATGACGTACTCTCTCTCTTTTACTGTTTTGATTCACTCTTTACACTTCCATCAGTCATGTTTCTGGCACCAGAAGGCAGATGTTTTGAGAAAAAACAAAACTACCTGCAGTTCTGTCCATTGAATCAAGTTACCATAATCATGTTGTCTTGTTGTGGTTGTTGTCCTCCACCATGCAGGTGGTCAGTTTATATGTGCCCTCCTCCATTCCTCTTGTCTATATGCTGCACCTTAATCTGAGTCAAGCAAACAAAGAGTCAAGAAAGTGACATATTTTACCTTAGTAAAGCTCAGCCTTGTGGACAGCAATGCTTTGCCAGTTTTACACTTTCAACTATAACAAGTTTATGATCTGAGTTTTCCTGTCACGGTAGTTCTCTCACAACTTTGTGTGTGTGTATCTGTGTAAGAAAAAGAGATTTAGAGGTTCTTCTGCTAGATGCAGGAATGGTAAGACTGGAGTGTGTTTATAAACCAGCCTTGTAAATGAATGGTTTGCTGCTGCTCATCTAAGATGCTCTCTCTCACACACACACACCCACAGCACCTAAAATATGACAGGCAGACTTTGATTACTTGTACACATATGCACACACACATACATGTACTTGTACTTCACTCTTTGTGAGGACACTCCCCTAGCCCCTTACCCTAACCATCAGATCTAAATGCCTAACCTGAATCCTAAAACCAAATCTTAACCCTCAAAAGGGTGTTTCACAAAGTGAGGACCGGCCAAAATGTCTTTACTCTGTAGCAAACAATACATCTGTGGTCCTTACTATGTAGGAAGTACAAGTACACAGACACACAAACTGGTTGTAAATCAAAAGTAGAGCTGGAGCCAGAAGAAAATGGAAGGAGATGGAGACAGAGATGTAAAAACAGGTTTTGTCCATTAAGTAATGCAATGAGGTCTTGACAAATCAAATCAAACTGTCACTCAATCATTCACTTCTTTAAAGGCACATACAAATGCACACACACACACACACACACACACATATTAAAACACATATAAACTTATCCATTAAAGAGATTTCATTCTGTTTGGGTTTTTTTCAATCAACAATACATTTTGACTTTTTTTCTGCCGTTATTTTTTCCTCTGCCTTTTTCACTCTGTATCTAGAAGTGTGAATTCAGTGTGTGCGTGTTAGTCTGTCGACAGGCCAGGGCACTGAGTCTACTGTCTGACCGAGGAACTTTCTGGGGAGCAGGTGTCAAAAACTAATAAGGCAGAAATATAAAGACAAGATGAGACAGAAAGAGAGCGAGTGAATAATCAAAGGGAGACAGATGTAATGTCTTGCATTTAGGATTTTTTAGGACGTGCCCTGTTAAAAACAACTCCACAACGTGTGTGTGACAGCAGCTTATTATGATCAACAGTTAGGTGATACTGTGGGGTGACATCTACTGGCTGATTTAATTACAGTGCAACACAAGCAAAGGGAGAAATTTTAGTGACGTGTATGAGTCCACATTAAGAGTAGGTTGGAGTGGATGCATGGCTCAGAAAACAGGACTCTACCATTCTTGTTTACTGTATTGGAGGACTTGTTGGGGGGAAGATAGTTTTCCAGGCACTCTTGTTCACAATACACAAGCAAACAGGAACAGTGTTAAAGGCCTAATCATGCATGATGCTGGGTTGGACTCCAGCCTCCTGTGACCCTGAGTAGAATGAGTAAGCTGAATATAAAATGAATCGATGGATGAGTTTATCACCACAAGGAAAAAGAAAAGGAACAAAATGACAGGGAGATGAAGAGGTGATGACAGGGCTTAAAAAGAAGTAACGAGGGATGAGATAGAGATAAAGAGAGGAGAGCACAGATGGGAGGGCTGCTCCAGCCAGAGCCAGCTATGAATAATGAAACCCCTACAATCTGTGTGCGTGTGTGTGTTGCCTGCATGTGGATATTGGCTAGATTAACGCATACATATGTTTATGAATTCCCCAAGTGTTTAGTCAGAACATGTTTTCATGCATATTGCATTTGTGGACAGTGATCTGAATTGTTTGGCTGTTTGTATTCGGTGTGTGCACCCATAGTGAAGGATGAGTGCGTGTGTGGGTGGCTGGCTGGCTGTTCAACAGTGTGTAGCGAAGGTGTGTTATGTGAGTCCACTATACAGCATGTGCATGTTCTTTATCATTGTAGATATGGGATATGTCTATGTTTGTACATGCAAGGTAAATTCTAATCCTGTGTGTGCATGTCTTTCTATGATTGGGTAACAAATTTCAGTTAAATATCATTTTGGGACGTCATGGTGGTGCAGTGGTTGGTGCTGCTGCCTTACAGCAAGAAGGTTTAGGTTGGTTTAGGGCATTTAGTTGATATGTTAGGATAAGGGATTTGGAAATGCATTATGCCAGGAGTGTCCTCACAAATATAGAAAGTCTTGTGCATGTTTCTGTTTCCCAAAGATCAGCAGTTGATGATGTAAAGTTTGTTGTACTGCTGTGCAGAGCTAGTTAATCCTATTGAGATAATTTTATATGGAAATATTGAAGCAGAAAATTGATTTAGTTATAAAGTATTTTTCCTCTTGTGTTTCACATCTGACTACACAGTATTTTAATTTTGTTGCCAACATTGTTGAGAGCTGGCTGCTTAAGCTGATGTGATGCTGGAAATAGCAAATCCAGACAGTTTTCTTTTTTTTTTTTATCCAACTGTAACAATGACAGCTCACCAGTAAAAGCATTCTCCAAAACACCATCCCTCCCTCACCTGTCTCTCCCAGGTGCAGAATGTTCTCTCCTGCACCTCTCTCTCCTGTTTTCCTCTGTTGAACTGAAGCCTATTTGTGGTATCAGAGTCAACATGTCTGAAAGTGAAATGAATACTCTCTCTTCCCCTCTACCTGTCAGATACAGATGGATCGTTGACATGAAGATGATAGATTCTGAGTGAAAGAAGCTAGAAAGAGGCCAAACTGATGAGATTTCCCACAGAATCAATGTGATGAATATGCTGGTGCCCAGGGCATTTTGTCCTAAGGTTTTCCCTATTCATACTGTAGACGTCATCAGCTAATATCAAGTCAGATTTACATATCAACACCAAATCGCACATTTGTGCATTTTGGCAGATACAGTATGTTCAATGAAAGCCTTTGTTTGTTGATTGCATGACATGTAACATGTACATATTCAGTGTTGAAAATTTGTAGCATTAAATATCAAATTTCTAGGAGACAGGGATGCACACTGTGAATATAAAAAAGTGAATAACACTGATTATCTTGTTACAATGGCACCTGTCAGTGGGTGGGGTATTATTAAGAAGCAAGTGAACAGTCAGTCCTCAAAGTCGATGTGCTGGAAGAAGGAAAAATAGGCAAGTGTAAGAATCTGAGTGACTTAGACAAGGGCCAAACTGTGGTGGCTGACGACTGGGGCAGGGCAGTATGAAGAGAAACATTCAGCAGCTGTAGTGGTGATGTCACGCCTAGAGTGGGGAGGCTGTTGAACTTGTCCTCACGACCACAGTTTTCACTCCTTTTACATATGTTTTTCACTGAACGGTCGACACATTGTGCTCTTTCTGACAGTAGAACTATGGAAGCAAACGGATTCACACAAGATGCACAGTGACACGAGTGCCCAACCGACTGCTGCACCGGCTCCTGTATATGTACACAGTGTCAGGCAGGTGGTCATAATGTTATGGCTGGTGTACATTTCATCCAAGCTAGAAATCACTTTTATTTAAGTGAGTGTTGAGTCAGCTTCAGACAGTATACTTTAGAGTATCTATAAAGCCAAAGATTAACAGAACGTGCCAGCCATCTTTCTTTCCACTTTTTACAAATGCTAGTTTGAAATTATATATTGACTTATTAGTCAATATGTAGTATGAAAAAAATCTTTGAAGCTTTAGTTTATTGAAAACATTTCAGTCAAATACATTGACAGATCTAATAACCTTTTAATTGTGTATCTTATTCTACCGAGACACAGCTCTTATTGTGGGTCCCCATACTTGTTTCGGTTTAGCGGTGGCATGTGTCCCCTTAAACCACTGTGCTGCATTTCAGAGCTCTCCCCTGGGTGCTCTTAATTGAAAATGTCTCAGTGGTGGCTGTGCAGCCATTGCATCACTGTCAGCTGGAGGAAAAAAAAAGAAGTAGCAGGGCCGGGGGGAAAAGTAAACAGCCTCGTATAATGTGTCCCGCTGAGTAACATCAACTTGGGCAGCAGCCTTCGTTTTTGCAGAGGCTCCTCATCATCTTCTGCATGAGCAAGCAAAGCAATGCAAATGTAATCGTGTTCATTCTTGTTTTTGTGACATCCTTTTTGTTGTATAATGGCAGCTAATAGCACAGGTTTGATAGTAATAAGGAGTAATAAGGCAGTTATGACCCATGTCACTGTGTTTTGTGTTCGAGCAGCAGAAATGACCTGATTACAGCCCGACAGGGTGAACCTTTCCAATTTTTAATAAACTGCTGGAAACACATTTGCTCTGAGCACTGTCTTACTATAAGGAGGCCATAAAACCAAAAAGGTTAATGATCTGTAGTACACCCGGAGTACACCCACTGAGTCTCATCTTGCCCTTCTCTTCTTAACAGGAAGATTATTGAGGTGAAGATTATCGATGATGAGGAGTATGAGAAGAATAAGACTTTCACCATCGAGCTGGGGGAGCCTGTTCTGTTGGAAATAGGACAGAAACATGGTGAGTCTACCTTTTGTTCTTTTGAGTGTGTGTGTGTGTGTGCGTGTGTGTGTGCATCTTCAGAGAGAAAACCAAGTATGCAAGAGAGAGTGCAAGAACAAGTCTGCAGTGACAGGCAGACAGAAAGGAGTCTTTGTTAAAGCAGCAGCACAGTCTCAGGCCCCCTGCACACCTTTCTCTTAACAGGGTGAGACCTGCATTGATTGTCTGGAGCCTCCAATCTAAAGTCAGATTAACTTGGGAAATGTTTCACTTTCAACCACTAAGGACAGGGCTTGGATTTAAAAAACACTGGGCTCAAGCTGTGAGGTGTTTTTGAAATAATGATGTCCCTTTCACATCATGTCAGATCACACAAATGACAGACAGTCGGGAATAATAACCCAAATCTGGTCCACTTTTTTACCTCATACTCTACATGAATATGTTATATTATGTACAGCGTTGAAATAGCAAGAAAGCTTCCATGTGTGCTCTTCTGATTAGCTAAGCAGCAAGAAAAGAGTGGATTGGACAATTTCCTCTTCATTTCTGCTTTAATGAACTATTTCCTACACTTCCTCTGAATTCACATAGTTACTAAAAAGCTTAGAAGTCTATGTGTCTAAAAAAACTCAGTCCTTCAACTTTTTTAAGCATGCAGGAAGCTTTGGTTAAATATTTAAAAGGCACATTACAGCAGGCAGATGGCTAATCTCTGCCAGGTGGCTCCAGGCTAAAGAGAAACTCAGTGCAGTACAGTAAGTAATTTCTGTAGCTTGTTCTGCTTTAACATTTGTTAAATTTCCACAAGTCTGGAAGTATTTCACTCTGCTTTTTTTAAATTTATTTCCTTAACAATTTATTCGACTGCAGCACTGTGTTTGCATTTAGACGTGGGGAGCCACTGCTCTAATGCATATAGTATCACACGCACTCGCACACATATTCTTTCTCCCAACATACTGGCAACTAATGAAAGTTTATATTATTGATTAGTCTGTTACTAGACTTTTTGTACAGATTGATTAATTGTTGGTCTCTAACATTTCAGAAAATAGTTTTTGTGACATTTTCAAATTGCTTGGTTCTGTATCTAATGCCTTGGTTTTGAAAATTATTCAGATTGTTATTGGGTAATTTTCTATGGATTGACTAATTTGATTTGGCATTAAACAAACCGATCTCCTGTGCTTTTTGACCTCGCTACTGGCTCTAAGCAGTGTCAGTTAATCAGCCTGTTGAGCAGATTGTCAAGAAATGTGCTGACATTAAGAGGTTCAAACCTGGAAAAAAACATATATGGTTGTGT